TTATCCTCCTGATCATCATCCTTGGTGGCCTGCTTGGCTTTGCTTCTAATCCTTTTGCCTTTTGCCTTCTTCACCTTTTTCCCATCGGCATCCTCCTCTTCCCTTTTCAGCTTCTCCTGCTCGCACTCCTCCTCCTTTTCCAACTCCATGGCATCACTCAGGACATCATCATCTTTGCTGCGCTCAATCTCGCACTCTGGCTTGCTTTTTGATTTTGGCTTAGCCTTGGCCTTCTTGGACGCCTTGGCCTTTCCTTTGGGCTTAGCTTTGCCCCGCTTGGGCTTGTCTTCCTTCTCAGCACCATCATCATCATCATCTTCATTTTCCCTTATATTCTTCCTCAGCGTTCGCTGGACCTGGATCAAGTGTAATTAATATTCGTTTAAATCACCCAAAAGAAAATCGCAGCATGATTGCAGAGATCATACCCCCTCTCAGGTTGCAAGACAGCCTTCAGGAGCTCGGGGTTCAAAGGGCCAAGCTGCTTTTCCACATCTTTCACCAAAGCATCACCAGAATCTCGCGCAGGCCTCAACAAAGACCACGGGATATTCGGCAAGGGGATCCGGTCGTTATCCTCCAGGGATCGCAGAATTCGAAACCACTCATCGAATCACAGCTATGCTCATGCAACATGCACATGGATATCACTCCACTCATCATGTACCTCCAAGACCTCTTGCACCTTCTGTTCCTCTGCGGAGACACCCCGGGCGTAGAAAGGCTGGCTGTCTTCAGTCGAGATAGTAGCCTGGACAGGACAGATTCGATCACACAAAAATAGAAATCATGATTCACTGAAATTTGCGGCCTGATCATCATGACCACCCGCAGGAAGACCAGCTGCTGCATCCTCAGCTGGATAAACATAGAAATAAGTATTGCAAGTTGTGACACCCGACCGGCTCTATCTTCAACTTCATCCAAGGTTCAGCAGAGCTTGCGGGACCAGGCTCCGTTTCCTCCCTCTTTTGCCGCTTCTTCTTCTTGTTGCTTGTGGGACTAGAGACCTATGGCCGGGGACATGTTTCATGTTTATAACATGCAGAGCATTTAACACTGCATGCATATCGTGCTGCATCGGTTCGTCCTGCTCCGTTTCCTCCCTCTTTTGCGGCTTCTTCTTCTTGCTGCTTGTGGGACTAGACACCTGGCAGTGGCGAGACGATCACATAACACCATGCTGTACATGTACATGTGTCTCCATGATGAATCGTGAGCCTGATCCATTTCTTCACTCACTGGCCTTGCAGCATCAGGTGCCTGGGCATGGCAACAGCAATATATAGCTTGCATGTTCGAGCAAACCAATCCTCGGCGCACCTCATGATCACACCTCTCGACTTCCTCATGCACAGCTGCACTTTCCAAGTAATCCTGAGGATTGAGCAGAATTGGAACGTTCACTGCATGGATTGGAACATGTGATTCTTCTATAAAACAAACGCATGTACCTCTGGCACTCTTGGACCCGTTGGGGAGCTGGATGGGCGAGGAGCCTCATTTCCAAGTCCAGGGCTACAAAAAAAATCATGCATGTAGACAATCACGAGACCTGCCTTCTTTCCTGTGGAAGTCAGTAGCCTCCTCGCCTTTGGTGACATAGACGGCTTTGGCCTTCTGGGTGGAGATGGTGTGGGCGATCGCTCAGGGCGGGGAACCTGAAATGGCAAAAGGCACAGCTCCAAAACAAAAATTAATAGGAGCAATTCGATTATATGCAACCAAGCATCATCTCCCGACCCACCAAAATCCTCATCCCAAAGCGGCTCAGCCTTGCATAGCACTTATAGGGTACAGTGTGCATAAATATATTATATACACACATAATTATGATATACATATGAAATACTATTTATTGAACACACGCCTTGCGAAGAATCGGCACTGGCGATCGGGTTTGGCCACCTTGCACCTGACCATGGCATGCACACACTGGCATAAAACGTGCAGATACCGAAACTATGATTCATGTTGCCTGGTCAGTGGCCATGGCATCACCACCCTGTGTCCCCTCGGCGCCCTCAGTCTCTTCGCATTCGTCCTGATTATATATTAGAGTCATGCCACATTCAAGGGTTTGTCTGTGCGTGCAAATATGTGTTTTCCCAGCCTCTGAGATCGTGATTTCCTCGATGGGATTCATGTGCGGCTCCACGACAATGACATCGTCATCATCAGCAGCAGGCCCTGAGAAATTACCCGGACCAACAAACCATTTCATGCTGCACACAGGCCAAGCTGCCTTGCACGACCTGAGTCTCATCGGTATCCATAGCATACTTCATCTCATCACTGGCTCCCGAACGGGATCTTGATATTCCTGCGGCCTGTCAAGAGCATGAGTTCTGATGATATTCGAAAAGAATCATACCAGCTTCAGCTTGGCCTCTCGAACACATCGTGCAATCTCCTTGAGCATGTACATCTTCTCGTGGCCCGGTCTCGCGGGATAATGTGCTCTAGACACGGACCCCTAGACAATGCAACACTACGCCCAAGCCTCGCCCCACTGTTCTGCGACAGCCGTCTGTGCACATATGCAGCCAGCGCCCTGTGCAGGCAGCCTTCCGTATTCGCCCAATCCTGGCACAAAGCTTCGAACACATGTCGCATGCAACAATCTACTTTAATTAAAGTGTACATACACACTCCTTGAGCTGCGACTTCGAAATCTTCTTCGACACTATGCCATAGTCCACCGCCAAATTGGATAGTGCTGCCTGCATGCACATTTACCGACATCCATAGTTGAATTCGAGAAAAAATCATGATTTGAATGCCTCGGCTTCCTTCGCAGTCGGTATTTGAGGGAATAATCCCAAAAAGTTTTGAAGGAATAGGAAGTTGGTGGGATTCATCTCCACCTAAGCTCAGAACACTGCTCCAACATCCACCCAGATCATGATCCACAAAATGTACATGTATATATCTGACATGTTGCATCAGCTTCTGTGATGCTCCGGGTCTCGCCGCCCAAGTCCACGAGACTAAAGTTGATGGGGACCTTGGGCAAATGTTCACGGAAGGGCTATATATGGTTATTCTAGCCCACAATGCACAAGAAACAAACACACATGTACATTAATATCATGCAGAGCAGCAACCCCGCGCTTCAAGCAGCGAGCAAGCTTCTTCGGCCCGATGCCATGCTCTTTGCATATGGCCTCCATCCTGCCCTCCACAAATTGCTTGTCGGAGAGGAAGCTTTTGTAGAGTTCCTGCCCAGTGCAAGTATGTATACATATATTTATCTCGTATCTATACTCGAGACAGAAATAGGAGAAAGAGAAGAGAGATCATGAGAGAGAGAGAGAGAGAGGGATAGGAACTAAAGATGGCAATGAGTGGCCTTCAGGAAGAGCACAGTTCGAGGATTCGGCTTCGTTGGGCCCATGCTGCGATCTAGGCGGACCCTGCACCAAAATTCCCCTCCAATCTAAAGGGGGATGTGAACATGACAGCAGGGCTTGAATAAGCCCCTGGATCAGGAAGCCCCACAAGTGATCTGATTATTACTACAAAGCTCCACGTGGGTTCTGCAAGGTATCGGCTGCTGTCTGATCCACAATGTGCAGCACAGCATCGCAAGTGAAAAGCGGGCTGCTGCATCTCAGGATTATTTATAATGTGTCCCAAACAAAGCTAGCGAGACCGGATGACGAAGCATCATCCACCCATTGATCTGATTTCCTCTCCACATGTCCTTATATCCAGATCTAGACACATGTGATCATTCACTCACCTGCGACACTGAATCGAATGCTGCTGAGCTGCGGCGAAGCAGAGCCTTGCGCATGGAGAATCGCACATCCACTCATCACCACTGTACTCCTTGGATTGTAATTTTACATAGCAAGATAGATTATGCCTTGTGGTTTCAGCGGCAAGCTTAAGGCAATTGCTGCTAAGATTCGTCGAAGTTATATCTGATCAGCCTCCATGCCATCGTACAGCACCGCAAGCTTGGTTCGACCGAGCCTTTAAACCTTTTACGTATCTAGTTGATTCGATTCGGTGTAGCATTAGCCTTATATAATTCAATGCAAATAAAGTAGAAGCCAGAAAGTTGGAATATCATTATCGTAACCCCTTTAAGGTAAATTATAGCATAGGGGATCCTACCATTAATCCATATTCCAACTTTCTGGAGTTCCCTATATCTTCAGGATTATGTATGTTGCCTGGGGCCTTGCAACAGCTACACACAGGAATTATGTATTCTGGGAATGTATGGTTCCGGGGTGGCAGGTGTACAAAGTCTCTGGAGGGTTGGGGTTTGAATGCTTGACAGCTGCATCGCCTGTGTGGCCTTGTCACGAGGCTCCTTAAACAGGTTTTGGCGGCTTGGGAAGGTGCATGTGCACTAACAAGATATGTCGTTTTTTCGGGCTTTTAGGGTCAAGTTCAGGGCTAAATTTATCGATGAAACACTCATCCTCTACACAAGGCTGGTTGAAACATGTCTGTTAAAGAGCATGAAGATCTTATGAAATTCTGGCTTGGGGCTTAATGATCTTCCATGAAAAGAAACCCAATAGACAGAATCCCTGTGCATAAAGAAGACAAAACGATTTAGAAATCATGAATTCTCCCTGATCTAGACTTCATAATTAGGGTATGCGCTAAAGGATTCTACGGTAAATTGAAACAAACTAGACACAAAACAACTTTGCCCGAAATGGCGATTTCTCGCACATGGTAAAACGAGGCGGTTGCGTCACAATCAGAACCGTCATGTTAAATGAGGCGGTTGACGTGCAGGGTAGTACTAATATTAATAATAATACTCACCCTAATACCGATACTACCACAAGACTGTTACGTAACTCATGTGCCGCACGTCTGGTGCTATACTATGTACCTCATGTAAAGGTTTTGCTTCATAGAATATCGTCGTGCACGGTGTTTTTTAGACCCGCGGTCTGTCAAAGGGGGGGGGGTGAGCATATATATATATATATACACATATATACACACAGTATATACACATCTTCGAGGATAAGCTGCTGGCCCTAGCCCGGGACGTCTTTGGGGTTGGGCCTGGGTCGGGGCCTCATTCGCTGATTTTCGGGTTTAGGGTTCCGGGTTTAGGCTTTAGGGGTTGGGGGTTTAGGGCTTGGGGTGTAGGGTGTGGAGTTTGAGGGTTTAGGAGTTTTGCGGGTGAAAAAAGGTTAGAGGACTTAGATGATTCTTTCGAAATTATATTGGGGCATTTGATTTGAGGAGTGTTAGGAGTCTGTTTGGGTTTTGTTTCCGGTGGGTGCAGCGATGCAGGTGGCTTTTAGGGGGTGCAGTTTTGGGGACTTAGCGATTTCGGATTTACGTCTTTGGTGCTGAGCGCTTGGAGTGCATCTCTGTGGTCCTTTTAGAACATATTGGTTTTTTTGACTATCCGAAGTATCTCAGATCATGGTTTTAAGCTTCGCTTAAGACATCTGAATTTTTCAACCGCCACGTAGCTTCGGACGACTGGTTCCCTAAACTCTAAGCCCTAAGCCCTACCATCGAGAAGTGTAGCAAAGCAAACCCCCCAAGAAAACACACGAAAAGCTTCTGGCTCCTCTCGGTATGTGCAAGCAGCCTACAGGTTTTCGAGGGAGTCGCTTTGGCCGGATCTGGCTTCCAGATTCTATAAAGAGTGCTTCAAAGGCACTATAATGTTCCATACGGGTGGTAAAGGGGCTCTACGACATCATTTAAATGTTTTGGGTTTGGGGTGTTAGGGCTTACGGCCTTACAATGATGATTTGGGGTCGCGGTCTGGCAAGACTTGAGCCCAGTGCTACAAAGGGCTGAGGGCTTAGGGGGTCTAGGGTTGGGGGTGGAATTCAGTGGTGACAAGTGGTACGTCCGTCTTCGTGACAGATTCGCATCAACGGGCTTTCGGGGTCTTGGTTTGTCGTGCATTTTCTTGAGATGCTTGTGGCAACACCGCCACAAGGTCGATGTGGACACCTCTCATGGTCGCAAGAACAGCAGCAGGTAGACAGACCACGGTACCAGAACGAGTATGGCGCCCTTCAACGTAGAACCCTAACCCCTCAACCTTAACTCTTCAATTTTTTCTGGATAGTCGTGTGATCTTCAATGAAGCTGTATCCTGCCCCATTTCCACTAGATCGTTTCACTCACCAGACCTCGAACCACACGCCTCGCCTGGATTGTCCGAGTGTGAGCGCCGAAACCTTAACTCCCGACCTTCGCCCCGAGCCCAAGAGTTGGTTGCCACGAGCCTTGGTCACGAATCAACCCCTATGCCCTCCCCCCTGAAACGCCTAAAAAAACATACACCGAAAGGGATCACCCCACCCTAGACCGAACCGTAAATCCTGATCCTAAACTCCCGCAAAACCCCGTCGACCTCAAACCCTTCACTCCAGACCTTACAGCTCTAAACCCTAAATCCCTGAACCGTCCACGTTGCCTGCTTGTGCGAGAGGGAGAGACGAAACCGACCTAAACCCTAGACCCTAAACCCTAAACCCTATACCCTATACCCTAAACCCTAAACCCTATAGACCCTAAGGCACACACAGCGGAGCTTGGACCGGCGCTGGCGCGCAGCATGCTCAGCCGTCTTCGGGGTTTCCGGCTTACTTGTAGGTTCAGGGTTCAGGGTTCAGGGTTTAGGGCTTAGGGTTTAGGGTTCAGGGTTCAGGGTTTAGGGTTTAGGGTCTACCCAAAGGCCCCAAAGTAGTTCCTTTTTTGGGGTTCGTATATAGAATCCTATAGGGTAATCCCCAAAAGGAACTACTTTGGGATTTCCGGTTACTTGTAGGTTCAGGGGACTCAGCAAGTAGGGTTATAAGTAAGGTATTTGCAACTTGTACTTATATCTGTTCGTAGCTCCAATTAAGGCACCTATAACCCTACTTACTAAGTTCCCTGATCCTCTAAGTCGGGCTTAGGGAGAACCTCGGACTCTGTGGTTTCTTTCAGTGGTTCAGCTTCGGCGCTGGGGTTTTGGGCGGGTTTGGGTCTGGGGCGCGGTCTTTTCAGCGCAAGCACAGCCTCTAGCCCCCTTGACCTGGAACAAGCTGTAACCACATGTGCTGTTTCTCGGGCAAGAACTCGGTCGTGAGTCCAATCATATCAGATGATTCAAACGTGGTGTTTATAGGATCGCTTTGCGCCTATTGCAAGCACAAAACCACATTTGAGCAAGCCCCTTGAAGAAACGCTAAAGTCAACGCACACACATATTCAACCTAAGAGTGCTAGAGGTGCTGGCGCGAATGGCTCACCCGGACAAGAATCGTCGTCGCGATGCCAAGACCACCTTTGCTCTGCTGCGGCTCTGCAAAGAGGCCGTAGGGAAACCGGGAGGGACGCCTTAACGCTAGGTTCTGTCGCAATCGTCAGCGAGAGTGGGGTTTAGGTTTTACCGGTTGAGTTAGGGAATCACAAGCCTCTTGTTGAATAGTTCAGATGAGCCCATACAGGGCTTTCGGCCCCCCCTTCAGGTACAGGGTATGAAAGCGCACTAAACCCTAAACCTATAAACGTTTAGGGTGAGCTTGAACGGGCTTTCGCTGATGTCCACTGGTTATTTCTCGAGCCGGCTCAGGCCGGACAGGCCGTGGACAAGAACGGTATGCCTAGTCATGGCTGCAGTAGTGTTAGTAGTACTAGTAGTAGTAGTAGTAGTAGCAGCAGTAGCAGTAGCAGTAGCAGTAGCAGTAGCAGTAGCAGTAGCAGTAGCAGTAGCAGTAGCAGTAGCAGTAGCAGTAGCAGTAGTCGTCGTCGTAGTCGTAGACGTAGTCGTAGTCGTCGTAGTAGTCGTCGTTGTAGTGGTATTGGCATCAACCGCAACTCAATTTAGGAAAAGCTTGCCAGTCGTTTCAAGAACTAGTACTTCGAGTTGCCCAAAGAAGTCAACACCCCCAAGCAAGACAAATGTCATCTCCCAGAACCCAAAGGGTCCTAAGTACTTACATAGTACAAAAAGGTTTTTTAGGAGTAGGAATTGGGGTAAGTATCACCCATAAGGCCCATACAGGTACTTAAGACCCTGTGGGGTAGTTATTGGCATCAATGCTGGACAGCCTTGAGGCAAGTCTGTACTGCAGCTTTACGTGTTAGCGCAAGGTCCCCAAACCCTAAGGCTAAAAAAAGCCTTAAGTTCTAACCCCTGACTGCGGAGAATCAAAAAAGCACCCTTGCTTTAACCTCGAAACAGTAGTGTCTCGTGCTGTCATTTGTCATCTTAAAGCCTGGGCTGGCAGTACCACAGGAGGACCGAACCAACATGGGATCGGAGAGGATTCCTTGCTTGAACCTGCTGACACCCACAACTCCAAAATCCCTATTCCCGAAAGATACGTGAGGTGCTCGAGATGCGGGCAGCAGGCAGCAGAGTCCGAGAACCGGCTCTGCCGCTCCGCAGCAGTGCTTGGAGTATCGGGTTTCGGCAAGCCAGATTGATGTTATATGAGTTCTCACCTTCTGACGGTTGTGCCGTGTAATGAAACAACAATGCCACAACAGCAACATCACCAGCAACAAGAACAACAACCACAACAACAATAACAACACGGCCACCAACGGCTGCAGCAACAGCGACGGCAGCAGCAACAACAACACCAGCAGCAGCAGCTACTACTAGTGCTACTACTACAAGTACAACTACTACTAAAAACCACCACCACCACCACCACCACCACCACCACCACCACCACCACCACCACCACCACCACCACCACCACCACCACCACCACCACCACCACCACCACCACCACCACCACCACCACCACCACCACCACCCCCACCCCCACCCCCACCCCCACCCGCACCCGCACCCGCACCCGCACCACCCACCACCCACCACCCACCACCCACCACCCACCACCCACCACCCACCACCCACCGCCACCACCACCACCCACCACCCCACCACACCACCACCCCACCACCCACCACCCACCACACCACCACACCACCACCCACCCACCCCACCCACCACCCACCACCCACCACCCCACCACACCACCACACCACCACCACCTCCACCACCACCACCACCACCACCCACCACCCACCAACCCACCACCACCCACCAACCACCACCACCACCACCAACCACCAACCACCAACCACCAACCACCAACCACCAACCACCAACCACCAACCACCAACCACCAACCACCAACCACCAACCACCAACCACCAACCACCAACCACCACCACCACCACCACCACCACCACCACCACCACCACCACCACAACCACTACTACTACTACTACTACTACTACTACTACTACTACTACTACTACTACTACTGCTACTACTACTACTACAAGAACGCCACCAGACTCCGAACCCGAAACTATAAACTTTACAACATTTTTCGAACGCTGTTGTATATGCATGCTTGGACATCACTGGTTTTTATTCACGACCTACACCTGCACCTACACCGACGCCCACACCCATACCCATACCCACACCAGACCGCCCCACCGACCTATCTCCCAACGACCTATCTCCCAACGACCTATCTCCCAACCACCTATTTACCTACCTACCCCTACCGTTACCACTGCCACTGCCAGTAACAGTGCCAGTAGCAGTAGCCGTACCAGCACCACTACTTCTACTGCTAAACTACTACGTACTATGACGACGACTACCATTCCTCCTACAACGACTACACTTTCTGTGAAATTTTTGGGCGTCCACAGGGTTGGATCATGGCTCCGAGCCTTGACGAGCTGGGCGTATTCAGGGTTGCATCGATACAGCCATTTTCTGTCAACCCGAAGGCAGCGATGATCACCACAACCACCGGAACCGCATCATCTTTTTATCATAAGCTGCGCCAATCAGTAATTGGGTTTTAAAGCACTTGTACTTGAAGTGTCCGTGCGCATCGCACTAACTTGCTTGCAACTGCTATGCCAGCAGTCTGCGGACTCGTTTGATCCGAAGCCTGCAGACATAGTCTAACCATTGATATCGGAGGAGCTAAGGAGCCAGGGATGATGATAATCCCTAGTAAATAAGGAGCTAAAGAGCCAAGGGAACCCCAAAACCACTGCTTAGTAGTAGCTGAATATAGGCATTCCTGCCGACCCAGAGTGGGGTCAAAAATGTCGAAACCCGGCAAGCACTAAGCAGGGTGCTGTTCTACTCTCGGTCCTACAGCCCCCAAGTGCATTCATGCCCCGGTATGCGTTAGAGTAAACCGTTAGGGCCACTGCCAGATCTTGTCAAGCCCGAGTCGATGTAGAACTTCAACCTACAGCCTGGACCCAAAGCAGCATGATTACACGGGCTCTCAGCAACGAACAGAAGCACGACCACAGCGAGTGGTGAGTAGTAAGTTGCATAGGACTACGTTACAGTCGTGGTGGTATTCCCAGTCGTAGCCCCAGTCCTTGTCCTAAAGCCAGAGGCTCAGTCCCAGTAGTCCTACCCAGAGACTCCAAAATCCCTTAATTAAGGAATATTCCTTAAATCGTATTAGGGATCCTACTATAATTTAAGGCATATTCCTTAATTAAGGGATATTGGAGTCTCTGGGTAGTGGTGGTGGTTGTGGAAGTAGTCGTCGTCTGCCACCCCCGGAAGGTATGAGTCCTTCGCCAGCCTCTCGCAGCAGCTTCCGACATGGCTGAGGGATGCCTGCAGAGTGCGAACTTGAGGACCGACTGTAGGGCTTACTAAGGTCTCCTTTGGAATATTTTTGTTTATGTTCATATTAACCCAAGAGAAAATTGAAAATGTTTGATTTTATTATGGTTCTGAGGGCGGTATAGCTTAAGGGTTTAGGATGATCGAGTTTTGGTATGGATGCTTCGGTGTTAAGGATCGGCCTAGGATGAAATAGAGTAAAGATATAGAGGTTTAGGCTTCGGGTCCTATGCTAAGTAAATCTTGGCTTCACACGCGCAGGGCTACAGATACGACAAAAGGGGCTTGCAGAGCCTGAGTTGAAGAATTGGATGTAGGGTTTAGGGGGATTGCATTCGATTCTTGCGTCTTGCGGCAAGTGGTCCAATTTAATTATCTCAACCCTACCCACTACCTTCGCAGAATTCACATTAAGCAGATTTTCTGAATAATCTAGATCGCAGAGTATCATCTATTTCGCTGTTCCGCTGTGACTCAACGAACCTAAACCCTAAACCAAGTTCAGACCTGGTTCTTGGATGCGTGCATGCTTTGCGAGTGCACGAGTTGAAACCTTAAAGCCAATCACAGCCCAGAGCACGGGACCGCGGGGTCTTGCAACAAGGCTTGCAACAAGGCTCATTGTTTTAAGTCGTCCCTCTCAACGACTCATAAGACGGATCATCGAGAAGCAGACATTTGTCAACAAGAATGGCTTCAGTGGTAAATCATAGAGGTTATACACACACATATATATATATAATAGACATGCCTGCACATGTTCATATGCCAATAGATTGAATACATATACATATACGTATACATATACATACACACACTCACATATATATATATATATATTCCTTAACCCTTTGCGCCGAACCAGAACCACAGGGTTTAGATCAACAAGGCTTATATGAAAGGAACCCAAAATCTCATTTTTGTATGTGGTTGGCTTTATTTGTGTTTAAAAGTGTTTTTTTGTATTTAAAAGTATTGTTTTGTATTTAAAAGTTTTTTAAATAGGTTTTTTTGTGTTTTACAGTTGTTAAAATTCTTTTATTTTATTTTTGGTGTAAAAAAATACATGTTTGTGAATTTTGTTTCTGAGTGAGTCAATTGGCTTCCTGTTGTTCTACCTGGTTTCCTGCTGCTGTATGTCTACAAAATTGTTGTTTATTTGTTGTTGAAGTTAATAATTTTTAAAATTTAATCTTTTTAAATAGTTTTGGGTTGTGATTGAACAAAGAAGGGAGGCCGTAGTGACATGTTGACTTGCCTTGAGACCTTGCCCTTACCCACACGGATCGACTGCCCATCTCGGTTCGTGGACACCGTTGGCCGGGTGTCAGGTGCTGAGTCGATGGTACCTGGACCGCCTTGGGGCCAACGTGCCAGGGCAGTGGCATATGACACCCGGGCACATGGGCTAAAGTGCCGGGTGGGGTGGTCCAGTGGTTGCGGCTTGATTTGCTTCCCAACCAGGAAGGGGAGGCCATCCATGCTTGTCACGTTAGTTAGGGAGCCTTGCGACTTGGATCGACAGAGGCAGAGTGCCACCTTACCCACACGGATCGACTGCCCATCTCGGTTCGTGGACACCGTTGGCCGGGTGTCAGGTGTTGTCGATGGTACCTGGACCGCCTTGGGGCCAACGTGCCAGGGCAGTGGCATATGACACCCGGGCACATGGGCTAAAGTGCCGGGTGGGGTGGTCCAGTGGTTGTGGCTTTTTTATTTTTCTCCCAACCAGGAGGGGAGGCCATCCATGCTTGTCACGTTAGTTAGGGAGCCTTGCGACTTGGATCGACAGAGGCAGAGTGCCAGTCGAGCCTCTCGAGGTTGCCTTACTTAAGTCCCTGCCCCATCGGGGTTGCTCCCCACACCGTTGGCCAGGTCTAAGTGTTCGGTTTGAATCCAAGCCTAGTGAACGCCTTCTCTTCCATTTCCTTCTCTCCCATCGGTCTTCATCGGCTTCCAGCCCATCGAGAAGTGGATGCCAACTGCTGGGATCTCAGCATCAGCTTGCTTCAGCTACTTCCATTATTATGGTACAGTCCTGGCACCGAGGCTCATGACGAGGATCCTGAGGACATGCTGCCATCGCAGAGGACAAGCTGCCTTGCATAGTCAGTGAGCGTGTCATGTATCGCAACTTGCCGCTGCAGCAGTTGTGCTCGCTGTTGCCCTGCGTAATCTACTATAGTCGTGTTACAGCTGCTCTGTCTCAAGTCTAAGTCGTAGTAGGCCCCCCTGCAAGCCGGCAGATGTCGTCGATGTCGTGGAGTGACAGTGAGTCTGTGGGCTCGGACTGGGTTCTGGTTGACGATGAGGGTGCAAGTACTGCGGGCTCGGTCGCGGACAGTGCTGACGACGATGATTATGTGATTCCGTTCGACGAGATGCTAGAGGAGTCCTTTTCGACATTGTGGATGTTTCTGGATTCTAAAGAGCGTGGGCAAGTCTTTCGAGCAGCCTTCCATATCAATGAACAGATCATGTTCGTACTGTTTCCGAGACTTTTGCGGGATTTTAGGCAAGGCAGAGTGCCAGGAATTTTATATTTCAATGTGACAGACGAATGGCTGTCGTCACTGAATCAATGATTTGTCGTGTTTGTACAGCCTCCGCGACAGTATCACGGATCTTGGGGAAGGCAGAGTGCCGGGTTTGCGTGTGTTTAGGGGATTTTGAATTCGACGATCTAGCCAGCAGAGCTAGACTGTCCGATTTGAGACCTCAGCGGTAGTGTGCGCAACTTGGATTCAAAACGGTTACCCAGCATGACATGCTGACTACACAGTGCCGGGTGGCAGTGATGTCCTCAGGACCCTGCTGTCTCCGAGGCTGGCTGCCTGCCTGCATAGTCTGTCAGTGAGTTGACTTGCACCATACATGATCGACATCTGCCGGCCAGAGAATCAAGCGATTCATGCATACTGATGTAACAGTAGTAACAAAATGTTACATATCATTGATTAATGTACTATATAGTGATGCATTAGTCACTGTTAATGTTTTAATCGTTGGACAATTGTGTGCTCGATGAAAGCAGTGATGCCGACGACCTGCTCTGTCTCTAGTCTAAGTCGTAGTAGGCCCCCCTGCAAGCCGGCAGATGTCGTCGATGTCGTGCAGTGACAGTGAGTCTCTGGACTCGGACTGGATTCTGGTTGCCGATGAGCGTGCAAGCACTGTGGCCTCGATCATGGACAGTGACTACGATGATTATGTGATTTATTTCGACGCGCTGCTAGAGGAGTCCTTTTCGACATTGTGGTTCTTTCTGAATTCTGAAGAGCGTGGGCATGTCTTGCAAGTAGACTGGCATATCAATGATATGATCCTGCACGTACTCTTTCCGAGATTTATGCAGGATTACAGTGAAGGCAGAGTGCCAGGAATTTTATATTACAATGACGTGCGAGACGAAGCTCTGTCGTCAATGATGAATCAGTGATTCATCGTGTTTGTACAGCCTCCGAGACCGCATTACGGATGTTGGGGAAGGCAGAGTGCCGGGTTTGCGTGTGCTTAGAGGATTTTGAATTCGACGATCTAGCCAGCAGAGCTAGACTGTCCGATTGGAGACCTCAGCGGTAGTGTGCGCAACTTGGATTCCAAAAGGTTACCCAGCATGACATGCTGACTACACAGTGCCGGGTGGCAGTGACGTCCTCAGGACCCTGCTGTCTCCGAGGCTGGCTGCCTGCCTGCCTGCCTGCATAGTCTGTCAGTGAGTTGCCTTGCACCATACATGATCGACATCTGCCGGCCAGATAATCAAGTGATTCATTCATACTGATGTAACAGTAGTAACACAATGTTACATATCATTGGTTAATGTACTGTATAGTGATGCATTAGTCACTGTTAATGTTTTAATCGTTGGACAATTGGGTGCTCGATGAAAGCAGTGATGCCGACGACCGTTTCAAGGTGCTCAGGGAGTTCCGAGGCAGAGTGCCAGACTTCTGCTGCTGACCATCAGAATCAGGCCAATCACATTGACCTTGGCAGTGATTACTGGAACGAAGCCGTGCAACAACTTCGGTGGAATTGTTTACACTGTGGCAGATCAGCTGCCGACTATACCACCGGGCTCCGAAAGATCCAAAGGGCTGCACAATTGGATCAACGAATCAAATTGGCAGTTGAGGCCATCTCAGATTTCGGAGATATGGATATGAAGTTGTACAAAGCATGGACCGGCCAGACAGATGTGCTGCCTGGGTCGATCCCGCCACCTCGGCCATGCCAGCATGATGTCGAGACGTGGCCCATGGATGATGTTTTGATTTACGACCATCCCCAGTGGCAACTGTTTGTTGGCAGTATTGGTTGCCCGATCCGATATGACCAGCTCCGGGTCAAGCCTGACATTGTCATCTCTATGAATGCAGATGACAGACCTCGGAATTTTGAGCCATGGGACTGGTATCAGTATTTGGCGAATTGTGGACCGTTTGGCACTGCACATCTTCGGTATGGTGGCTGGGATCAAACACATGCCAATGACTTTGATGCTGAACAAAGAAGTCATGAGTTCAAGACCATTTGGCGCCGCCTCATTTCAGATTTCAGAAAGATTATGATGTGCTGGCAGCGCTCAGCAGAGGAGTTCAGCCAGAGTCAAAGGCAGAGTGCCATCAAGGGCAAAATGATGGGCAAGGCCAATGGCGGCAGGGGCAAGGGCAAGACAATCAGCAAGGGCTACAGCGGCCCCTGTCAGGTTTCCAATCACATGCAAAGCCAGAAGGCATCGACGAAGGGCTCATTTGGCTATGGCTGCTCCTATGACAAGGGCTTCAGCAAGGGAAGTGACATGGGCAGCCTGTTCGGAAGAGCCGCTGAAGGAAGGCAGAGTGCCGATGGAAGGCAGAGTGCCTTGAAGGTGGCCGATGAGACATTCCCTGGTGAGCTCGGTAATGCTCTTGCTTTGTTGGAGGCGATGAAGCTTCAGGGAGGTGGTCGGAAGCGTGGAGGCAAGAAGAGGCCAATTCGTGTGCTTGTCCATTGCTACGGTGGCAT